CCGGATCCATGTAGTTGGCACAATCAACTCCAGACTTCCTCCGATCTGTAGAATTCTGGATCTCAACTCTAGATTTCGGTTCATTAAACCTACCTCCGATACCTCACGTCATAATACTTTCACTTTTCGCGAACTATCGTACTATGAGATCACTCACTTCCCGATTATTTACATAAAATCACGTTACTTCAGGTCTTCTTGGCCTCCCTCTGTCAACTCGTGAGGCAAGCAGGAATTGGTTCCGAACAAGACCTCAATTTACTATCATGCGTTGGATATCCAGTTTAAACACCTGCTTGTCCGAGAGGTAGCATATCGCCGTGATATACGATAAAACTGGGTTTTGAAACGAAATTAGATTTAAGATGTTGGGAGTCAATGGGGGCAGCGCATCGCGCTCCATCGGTGGCATTCGTGGTCATCCAGCTCCGTCTCTACTTATTGATCTCACAGACGATAGTGATAAAGATAAGAAGCGCAATGGGAATCGTAGTGAGAAGTGTCAGGAGAAATCTAAAGAGATCCCTACGAAGAACCCCAGAGAGATATCCAAGGAGAAAAGTAACAAGTCTTTCATTGACCTATGTTCATCGTCTGATGATGAGCCTTCTGCGCCACTAACATCAAAAGCGAAGGCGAAGCCAACCAAATCGTCAGCCAGCAGTTCAGCAACATCGACAGAAAAGATGCCAGTCAAGACACAAAAGTATAAGAATGGGGGGGCATATAGCCTTTGTTCGGACGGTGAATCTGATGATGAATTCCATAAAAACCTATCAGAATCAATTTCAAAGCAGAATGGCGGTGAGCGTAGCAATGATTTTATAAATAGAAGGTCGCATTCGGTCTTGAAGTCTAATGGAGCAGGGGATGCAGGCAACGTTTCTTCTCCACGGCAAGACACTAGCCGCACTGCCCGCAAGACAGTAGTCTCACATCGAAAGTCCAACTCAGGATCAGTTGGTCCAGTTGGCCACGATTTGGATCAAAATAACAACACTTCTACGCCCAGTTCAACTGTATCAACGGCGGCAACATCGAAAGGTCTTAGAATTGCAACAAAATCTTCAGTTGCTTCCAATCTTTCCCACGTTATGGGCCAGCAGTCAAGTCCAGAAGCTAATGCGCAGCCAGTATCCGATCTTTCGAAGATGGATTCAAAGGTTGCCAAGGAAATTAGCACAGAAAGACTCCCATTGAGCAATGCTGTTGCACCGCTCCCTTCGGACACTTCTTATTTGAGAAATGACCCTGCTACAAGTAGTGTTCCTACTATACTGGTGCCTGAAAGAGTTTTAGCGACGATCAGGCAATACTCTAGATCTCCTGAGATCAAAGAATCTCCACTTTCTACGAGAAGGTCCATATCAAGAATGTCAGACAATCAAAATCAAAATGATAATGATGAATTTGTAATTCAAAACGATCTTGCAGCTCAGAAGGAACTTGAGTCACGGAAGGCTGCAGGGCACTTGTGGGGACCGCGTACGAGAGGAGCAGCTGGGTCTTCTGAATCAACAGCAAAGCGAGACAAAAGCCCCAGCTCATTTACAACAAATGAACTTTCTGAGCCCAACCTTAAATTCAAGGGGAGAGATATGGAGAATGGTGCTGATATTCATAAAATCCGAAAGGGTCCTTACCAAAAGAAGGGGAATCATGGTGGTGCAAGACGAGGGCCAGCTTGGGAAAAACAGAAGATCGAAAGAGAGAGCGCTCAAAATACCGACGAAGAAGCTGTGAATGATGATATTGATGATGGTGATGATGATTTTCGATCGATACTCCAGAAAAGAATGACAAGAGGTCAAACATCAAGCAACATAACTTCGAGGGCTGTATCTACCCGCTCTAATTCACCTTCTCTCAGAGTGCAAGAAGGGGAGAGACGTGGAAAATTGGTATCATCTATCCCAAGATCAAGAGGAAAATCCCCAGTCCTAGATGCATCACCTGAAATACTATCGCGAGAGCTGTCCGCAAAGGAAATCAAAGCACGTTTGGTAAAACTAGGGGAGATAGGAATGGAAGATTGGGGATTCAGCCTTGAGCGTCATTTGGAGAAACTACAATTGCGGCCCCTTGCAGCGTCAAATATGCCTTCACATGACGATGACGAGAATCCTTTTTCATCTTTCACGGCGCAAGACGAAACTTTTGATGAAGCTATTAATCTAATCACACGAGTATGTTGTAATAAGATCAAGTAATGAGATATTTTCTAACCGTAACAGACATCCAAGAAAGCGAAAACTTCAAATTATGTATGCCCACAAATAATGGGAGATGGTGACGTAAAGCGAACGCCGAGCTACACTCATCACATCAACGTCACACGAAATCATATAACAGGAGACGATGAAATCCTGCGCTATGTTCCATTGGTTGTTCAGAATGAAGAGAAAGCTATGGATAAATTCGAAAAAGAGTTGAATACAGCGTACACAGAAAGGCCTGATAACCCAAGAGTAAAAGAACAAATGGCCCAAATAAATAGGCGAGTAGTTGTCGCATTAAACAATATAGGATTTGACAACAATTGTGATATGGACACGCTCGTTCAGTACTTTCTGGGACACCAGTCTGAGAAAATACCATATCCTACCAGAGAGAAACAATTGGTCCTAAAAACACTTGGTGGCCCTCTATCTGGCCACTTATTGAAGAGAATGGCTACGGTCGCTGAGGTATTGACTGAATACTTTAAAATTGATCTGGAGACTGTGGTCCTATCTCAATCCCAGTTCAAAGCTTACATTGAGAGATCAACTTCTGAGTTGCACAGACGATCTGACGAACCATCTGCTCGATTAGAGACAACGGTTCAATTTACCTGTTTGATATGCCAAGGTGCTGCATGTACAACGCATGGTGAATATAATTATCAAAGGATCAATAAGGAAATTCCTAGTGAAGAGAATTCCTCCGAGATCGGTTCTCCTCAGCATTCATACTCCAATAAGTCTGATTACGAGTATACGTGGGAGAAATCTATCATGCATTTATCAGATGTCTTACGGAAACATAACGGCCGAGACCATGGTGATGAGGATTGGCATCCGGAGCTTTGGAACACAGAAAAAGACATTGTCGAAGCATGTAGTGATGAATGTTACAGTGGACGGAAAGATTGGACAAATTATTCTTGGACCGAAGAGGAAGAAAATGAGTTGAAAGACGCACTTATAATCAAACCCAGTAGACCATGCGTTCTTGTGGAGATTCTCGAAAAGCCCTGCTGGCAAATTTATTCCAAGATTCTGGAGCTCGAGGACAAAACCCCTATGAGCAGAAGTAAGAGTCACCAGCCGAGCGAACGAGTAGAGTGGTACAATCCCAAAGCCGTACCTCGCAATCGTGGCCTCAAACCGGGTTGGCAAGATAGCACCATGGCGCACATGCCCGAACTATGCTCCCAACCTGTTCCCTGCGTACACGAAGGGCCCTGTAGTCGGGAAATGAAATGCCATTGCGCTCTTAAGAATATCCTCTGCGAACAATTCTGTGGTTGCTCAGATCGCTGTGAACGACGATTTTCGGGCTGTTCTTGTCATTCGACGGGTCTTGCTTGCGCTTCTGACACATGCATATGTTTTCAAATGAACCGCGAATGCGGCGATCAATGCAATACCTGCGGAGCGATTCCTCGGATTCGACCGCAGAGCCGTCATAAGAAGGAACTTTTTCAGTATGGTTGTCAAAATATAGCCTTGCAACGGGGCGTGAACAAGAAATTGATTCTCGGAAAATCTCCAATTGAAGGGGCTGGCTTTGGACTTTTTACTGCAGAACCTGTGAGGAAAGGGGATTTCCTAAGCGAATATACCGGAGAATTGATTTCTGATAACGAAGCCGAACGCAGAGGAGTGGAATACAATGCAAAGTTCATGAGTTTTCTATTCACCTTGAATAAAGAATGGACGATAGATGCTATGCGGATGGGCAATAAAACCAGATTCATCAACCACGCGGGATCAGAAGCCGATGGGATGAACTGCGCTGCAAGGATTCTATTGGTTAATGGAGAACATAGAATTGCGTTCCGGGCGACTCGAGATATTCTGATCGGGGAGGAATTACTTTTTGACTATGGTCGCAATTTTGCGGAGTTATACGGCTTGAATAAGAAAAGTGGAAAGGGGAAAGGAAAATTGCCTAAGACGAACAAAGCCACGTTGAACAGATTGGGTGGAAATACCGGTAAAGGAACGGTACCGGGAACAGTAGCAGCCAAGAGAAAGGGGTGGCAGAAAGGAAGACCGAGAAAAGCGAGTAAAAAGGCCAAGGTTCATGAATATGATGTTGCGGGACCGTCAAATGCTGCATATCCCGGCGAGGAAGATGCTGATGAGATGATGAACACTGCTCAGAATCTCAATCTTAACGACAACATGATACAAGATAGCGATGCCGAAGACGAGATGTTGCGTGGTCAGGGCTCAGATATCGAGATGGGAGATGCGGAAGAGGATGAAAATGAAAACGAGAATGAGAATGAAGATGGCGACGAAGAAGCTGCAGAATCCGCGGTGAGAAGAACAGCGCGTCGGGCAAAAATTCCTTTGAGATATACGCGATGAAGAACGGAACAAGAATGGTATCGCGGAGGGATCTTGGTATATAGCTCTCGTGCTTTCTTTCTTCTTCTTTTCTTTTTGAGTAACTTTCCGTGTATTCAAATGGAAGTGTGTATAGTATCATATCGTATTGGTGAGGTGGCTGCATGATGGAGGGTGGGACGGTGGGTTGTTATTAGGAAGTATGAGTGGATGGATACAAAGCAGTTAAGTACATAGGTACATACATACGTAATGGAACAAAATTGATATCTGATGCGCTCCTTCTACTTCACTTTTCACGGCAGTGAACTGGAAAGTTCCCTGACGTGGTGCAGAGCAACAATGCATAGTTCCCAGAAACAGCTGAAATATTGATGAATTGTAATGATAATATTGAATCATCTAAAACTACTTAAAGAACTGAACATAGGTATATATAAGCTAACCCAAAAATGTAGATAGAACATTAGCAAACTCCTCTGGCTTCTCGACCATCGGTAAATGTCCCGCTCCCTCAATAACCTTACACTCAACGCCCTTTCCATAATTGCCCGCCATCTCTTTCATTGTCTTTGGTAAAACACCATCACTACCACCAACCACAAATAACGCCTTCTCAACCCCTGGATTCTTCATCTCTTCTCTGATATCATACTGATAGAGAGCCTTTACACCTTTCTGGAATCCCTCAAAACTATTTTCCTCAACCTGTTTCTTCACATCCTCGAATCTTTTCTTCAATATTTCATTCTCGTAATTTTCTGCTACGAACCATCTGCGAGTTGTAACCTCCGCCAATTCTGAGCCTACGATCTGTTCATCGTTGGACGATTTGGCAGATTCGGCGGCAGACATGGCGATGCGCTCATCCCAGGCTTTGGGGTTGGAAGGAGGAGCATAGGCATTTGTATCGCAGGATATAAAAGCATTAACACGGTGGGGGTATTTGAGTGCAGTATTGAGAACGGTGACACCACCGAGGGAGACACCGATTAGACAAGCTGCTTTGGGAACACGCAGGGTATCTAAGATATGGATGATGTCGGAAGCGAGAAGATCAACGGTGACGGGTAAAGAGCCGGTGTTTGATGTGCGTCCACGGGAGTTGTAGCGGAGAATGCGGTAACCTTTGCCAGTGGGTGACGCAAGGAATGCTTGGATGAACGGTGTCCAGATAGAATAGTTTACGAGGATGGAATTGCTGAGGATGATAAGGGGAGCAGCTGGGTCAGAAGATCCTTCAAGTCGGTATGCAAGATCAACTCCATCTTTTGTTGTTATGTAGGACTCGATGGCTCCCCCTTCAGCAATGGTATTTGGTCCAGTGCTTGTTTTCCCGTCAATCGATGTCCAATTCGTCGAATAGGATTTTGAAAAGTTAGAGATATCTCGGGGTGCGGCGCCGAACGTATAGTATAAATTGTATTGCCTAGAATTAAAGGAATTCAAAGCCGTCGATGTGAGCTTCTTGGCCCATTCTGTCGAACCAACAGCTTTGAATGCTTCCCCAAATGCATCGTTTTGAGGAGCGAATTCAGTGACATTCAAATACTCCTTTCCTTCTTTGCCTCCCAAGATACTGCTTGTAACAAAGCGTCTTGTACGTCTCCAGCCTGGAATTTTCGCAATCATTGATAAATGCTCTTCTTCCATCCACTTGTTGAATTCTTCATCAAATTCCTCCTTGACTTCTGCTGTAGAAGTCACCACGTAATTCCCCTCATCATACCCCACTTCCTCCACTTTCTTATATCCGTCAATTTCCTTGCCACTAATGTAATCATACAATTTCCTGTCTATCTTAATCTGTGCCATTGTTTCCTTTTCCCTATCAGTCTTTACTTCGGGTCCGCGGAGTCGAAGATAGGTATCGGTGTTCATGGCTGCCATATCTGTGACATCGTAAATGGCCATCCATTCTGGATGAGATGTAGAGGCTGGCTTCGCAGCAGACAAGTCGCTTGCGCGGTAGCGGAAACCGTTTGTGATGAAGGGAAGACGTAATCGGAGAGGTCCATGTTCATTATTGTACCAGTCGTGCCATTGAGAATCTGGAAGAGATTCTTGAGGCTGCATTGTAACATACAGGATACCGGGTATGGGTGCCATGATTGAGTATGCTGTAGTGGGACTGTTTCGTGTCTTCTGTATGAACTGACTTGATTGTGAAATTCAATCGTGTGGATAAGTAAAAGATATCTTGATGACAGGATTCCTGGAGGTGAATTGCGAATAATTTCGCATTGTGGACGGGACCGAGATGATTAAGGGGGCAGAAGGCTTTACCGTCTCACATGGCCATATCTGCCCCTCCATGCTTGTTCGCCATGAAATATCGTCCCCATATTATTGAGGGGTGGGCTCGAGGGTGGTTGAATAGCGGTTAGAAATCCGGTATGTGTTTGACACGGAAACTCCTCCGGCATTTTCCAAGTGAGGGGATTAAATTCATGCCTTAACCCTGGAGATTTTAAGGCATTAAATAAAGTGAACCTTGAGGTTCAATATATTTGTAGATTCCAATTGACTTGTGGAAATTTGTGGTAAAATTAGACTTCAACAATTTACACTCTACGTCGTGTACACTATGTAACAAGTATCATTTATCTTTGTTCTCTATATTCTTCAATCATACCAAATGGCATTCATACCAAAACCAGGTTCCGGGATATCAATTCTCGCAACCCTATACAAAAACTCCTCATGCCATCTATAAATCTCAAATCCACCATCTTGATCGTCTGTCAAGGCCAACCACTCATCACTCCAAGGACAAGGACTGACTGCATTTGAATGACCTCCACTTGTTGGCGTTGGATTCAGACAAATCTGTCTTTCGATATTCCCAGCTGGTCCGAGTTTGAACGCTGCTATGTAACCTGTAACCTTGAAATCGTTCGATCGTGACGTCGCAAAAAGATATTTGCCGCTATGTGATATGAAAACAACATCGGATCGATATAACTTCAGATTCGGAACCCCTATCATTAAAAGTCAGTCGCTAAGCGGGAGATTTTCAGAGAAAATGAAAGGAAGGAGGAACGCGTACCTGGGGGTACCAGAGGATATGTAATGTTTGTGAATACTGGCAGATGAGTTTTCTCATCAATGACATAAACTGCCAGATTATTTCCTGCTTCATTCAAAGCATATAGATACTTTCCGTTTGGGTGTATTTCAACCCATCGAGGATGATCGCCCTTCTTCGGCGCATCTACACTTCCCACCAATTCAAGTAAACCCGTTTGGCTGTCTTTTTTATGTGTCCATACTTTGTTTCCCCACATATCTGCAGAATATAGATAATTCTCTTCCGCGTCAAATACCATGCCATGTATCGCAGATTCGGGACTATATTCATAGTTTTGAATGTTCTCCTTCAGTGCGCCATTTTCATCGACAGAGAAAACATTTCCATGTCCAGCGAATTCGTAGAATGGATTGCCGTAAACATTATAAGGTGCTTTCTTTGATGCTAAACAGAAAATTGCTCTTGTTCTCGTATCAGATTTCGACGCCGATGCTATTTACACATGCGATTAGAAGGTTTCGCACAGAATACAGCGACCGAGGAAGTTACATACGGTCATGAGACATAGGATGCGAAGTGGTATGTTGAATTTCTGCAGGGCTTGTGACAGAATGACTTGACCACTTCTTCATCGAAGCTCCATATATGTTCTTCTTTGCATGCTATCCATGAAGATATCGGGTCAGCCTACTGGCGCTCGTCGGACTCCCACCAGACAGCGATACCAACTTACATCGAATGTCATCCAGGAAATTGGCTCATCTTCTGGAATTGCTGTTCTCTTGAGCAATTTCAAAGTTAATGCTTCATCATCAAACTCAATGGTAAAAATTGCACCTGGAGGGGTCCAAGTTCCCACCATCAAATGATGAAGCATTCTTCTCGGTTGTAGAGGGTGAAGTCGGCGGACAAACGAATTTCTGAACATACACGTTACAACCAATGCAAGACGACCGACCAACTTTGAGATCTAGAATTGGAATCTCGTAACGACTTCTCTCAATTGTGAGCTGATGACGGGAACAGACCGTAATATTATCTTGAGGAAATGAAAATTGTTTTGTTATTGAGGCATTACCGTCATACAACCCCCTGGTTTGCTGTTGGCGGGGCCATAGCTAGGCTATAGGAGTGCGGGGCGTAATCCGGGGACTTCGCACGGGAATTTTGGTTTGGGCGGTTAAAGACTTTCCCGGACAGTTCCAAGAGGATAACAGAACTCTATTAGCAAAACTTTCAAACTCACACAGACACTTGATCGTAGTAATTGCGGAGGGTGAATTAGATCAATTCAATTATGAAGCCAAGACAGATGGTTTGGCATACAGTCTAGTAGTCGTGTTTCCATTGTCGAATGATTTGGGACGATTTATGTGGCAAAAGATACTTCCGGTCAAACCCGTGACTTAGTGTTAGCTGTAGCAGCGTTTCCGAAGATCAGTGCCGTGCTATTTTCAATGCTAAACCACAATATTTCGACACTAACAGCCGACTTAACTACCGTCTCAACCATCGCTAGAACTTTGGAGGGGTCACTCGATCACCAATTCTGGAGTAGGCATTGCGGACTACTCCTAAGATGCTTGTTGATTCGTTCCCATCGTTAGGGCGAATATCGTGAGGATACTTGGGGAAATAATCATATATAGGTAGGCCTTTTTCCTCGAGGTAAGTTATTCATTTCCAGCATCAACATCTTCTTTATACTCATCATTCCATATCATCCTCCTTGATACTATCATTCAAACACACCCACATCTTCTTTAATCAATACCACAACATGTCAAACCAACAAGAAACCACCGGTACTTCCAAGGGATTCGAGAGATTCGATCCAACTTTCACCACCAATGTCATCAAGTCGATCGGTCCCAAGACTGATCCTCGATCAAGACAATTGATGGGCTCTCTCATCCAACACATCCATGACTTCGCAAGAGAGAACGAACTCACAATCGATGAATGGTTGGCCGGTGTCAACTTCGTCAACACTATCGGACAAATCAGTACCCCCACCAGAAATGAAGGTCACAGAATTTCTGATGTTCTCGGGCTCGAATCGTGAGTAGCCAAATCCATTACCCCACATTCACATCTGACAGTGTTATTAGTGTCGTCGATGAAATTGCACACTATATCATGACAGAGTCTGGCGAGACCCCTACATCTTCCTCAATTCTCGGTCCTTTCTGGAGCCCCAACGCCCCATTCAGACCACTTGGTGGTAGCATCATCCAGGACCCAGTACCTGCAGGTGGAAAGACTACTTTAATGCACGGAACCGTTACCGATTTGGTTACTAAGAAGCCAATTCCAAATGCTGTCGTTGACATCTGGCAAGCATCTGCCAACGGAAAATACGATTTCCAAGACCCTGAGAACCAAACCGATAACAACTTGAGAGGGAAGTTCAGAACCGATGAGAACGGACAATATCACTTCTACTGTCTTCACCCAACTGCCTACTCTCTGCCAACAGATGGACCAGCCGGTGTTCTCTTGAAATTGCTTGATCGTCACCCAATGAGACCTGCTCACATTCACTTGATGGTAAGTTACTCCGCGTGTTTTAATATAATTGGTAAGCTAATGCAGGAACCCGCAGATCTCAAACGAAAACTACAAGCCAGTCACAACTCAAATCTACCCAAACACCGACCCATACCTCATCACCGATACTGTTTTTGCTGTCAAGCCAGATCTCGTCGTTGACTTCAAGCCCCGCCACGGTGACCCCAAGGCAGAGTTGGACCTCGAGTACAACATTATCTTGGCACCAAAGGATTTGAAGATGTAAATGATAAAGTTCGGATTAAAGGGATGAATTAAAATGCTGGATCATAGATGGAATGAAGAATTCTACATGGGACGGGGTGTGGTGTTTTTGTATATAGCCTTGGGTTATCGGCGTTTTATATGTTTACGATTTTATGTTCGAAATGAGAAATCCTCTTTCACCTTTTATATCTATCATGATCTTTTCACTTTTGATTTTACTCGCTTTTTAGACATTTTGTGGGTATGTCTAGAATATTTTGTTATGAATTCTAGATAATGAATATATTCAGAAATTTTAAAAACTCGAGACGAGTATCAAACATCGACACAAAGTCGTTCAAGTAGTGTGATTTATGATGTGCCCATTTATTCAGAGAACAAGTTGTTTTTTTGCGCTGGGAATCAAGACAATAACAGAGTGGTACCTCCAAAGCCACTATTTGTTGTTATACTGAGATAGGCTCTCAAAGAAGGTGCAAAGAAAGGAGTTATTAAGTCAGTCTAATTTTGAGGGGCACATCAAATAAGGATAGTGGAGCGATAGGATAGGGTTGTATCAGCATGCTTTTTGCAAGCGCTATATTTTCTATATCGAAGTATTGATTTTCTTCTCGGTCTTAGTCAAATTTACTATTCAATGGATGGATTCACTTTAGGGCCTGGAAATTTTGTAGTTTGTTGCCATAATAGGCTTTTCGTATTTTGATTTGATTTTTGCGCTTTCACTGCAAAGAGCGTTTGGTTACTTAGGTGCGAAAATTAAAGGAAAGTTTTCAATTTGTACTCGAGATGACTCCCGAGCTTGCTTCTTCTCTTTCTCTCTCTCTCTCTCACGCGACTCGCGTTCGTTCAATCAACTCATGAGCTCCCCTTCTACTGGTGAACTCATCGCTCGCACCAAAGAACTGATTCTTGTCCGTATTCTCGCACACAATTGACTTCCCCTGAGAAAGGGACCGAAGGGAAGCTACGTTTCTTTATCATCTCAGCGTAGTCGGCGTAGTCGGCTGGCAAGATCTGTGGATTAACTTCGTTAACGTTAAATTTCGATGATCTATAGATCGGGTGTAGATCTGTTTGTCGGGATTTTGCTTCGCTCTCGAGCTCAAAAACAAAGTCTTTACGGCTGGTTGCGTCGAGATCGGACTTAGGGTGGACCGGACACTCCAGTAGCAATTGATATCGTTGGAGAGGTTGTCCGATTCGCAGAACAAGACAAGTTTCCATTTCAATGGGGACCAGACTTGTCTGAAAACGATTCCGGATTTATTTAGGTCGATTGGTACTCCTGAAGGGAAGAACTCGAGAAGCTTGACTCCCTCAACCAGTGGGACGTCGTGGGTGTCTGCGATTGCGATACTTGCGAGGAAGCAAATGATGAAGTTGATGATGAAGTTCTTCATGATTGCGATTGCTGATTTGAAGATTTTCTGTGGAGATAAGTTGATTGCTTTTTGGTTTCAATGTTTGATATAGTTCTTGTTGGTTCTATGTCTTGCTTGATATTGAAGTCCGGCTGGGAAAATAAAAGGAATTTTAGAGAGGCCCTTTTTATATCTCTAAGAACTCATTTGTTTCTAAACTGTTCTGAGATCTCTGCACAAAGACAATAACCTTTGTAAGGGACAAGTAGACATTTTTGTGAGGATTCATAATGTAAGTAACCGCTAGTACGCATTTATGTTGCTGGACATGCTCTTATTGAAGATTTCTGAAAAAAGCGGCTGGTTGACATGAGCCATTTTCTACTTGAAAAGGATGGATGAATATGATACCATATTTCAAATGCCGTTGGAGCAATTACGGATCAGGCCATGATGCACAGCTGTTCTGATTTTGTTTCTTCGTGGTTCTATCCTCAGTTTATGAAATGAACTGCGTAATAAATCGACAATTGTTGACTTATAGCATCCAAATTATATCTAAACAACAACGTGGTTCAAATATAAATAGGTTCATTTTCCTTCCTCTATTTCATTCCTTTCTTCAAACCATTCCAGTCCTCACTTCCTACTTATAAACCAATAGCCAACCCAAGCTAACTTCATCACCACAAAAACCAATCCCAGCTCTTCAACATGTGTCGCCACATGACCATCACTTACTCTTGCGGATGCTTGACTAGGTCCGTCGAAGCTTGCCCCCATTCATTGAGCATGAAAATTGCTCCTGAAGACTGCCAATTTCATTTCTCGGAGCCGATCCACATAGACGAAGGTGACTGTCTCAGCTGTGTTGTCAGAACCACCCAGCGGAATCAGAAGAAACTTGAAAGCATGAAATTGGAAGATTTTCATGTGGCAAACCTCAAGTTTCCACCATCTCCATCTTCACCACAATCTCACTCGAAGTCCTTGGGAACACGCGTTCTCAAGCAACAGGAGAAAGCCACGGAACTCGATAGATCTTATCAAGTTCCGGTGAGGAGGGAAAGTTGGGAAGAGGGAGATGACGAAGAGACGCTCCGTCAAAGCGTCAGTCAATCCCCAACCCCACGAGAAATCGTGGAGCCACGCACAGTTTCAGTCGAGGGTGAAGTCGAGCCTTTCACACCAAAGAAGTCGGTGAGAAAGATGAGCGAAGCGATGAAGAAGATGGCGAGGAGGTTCTCGAAGAAGAAGTAAAAGGTGAGTGGGAAATCATGGTGAGTTTCAGGAAGTAGGTCGAGAAAGCGCTGCCTTTTTATAAAACACAAAAAAAAGTATCAAGGAGTATCTCAATAGGTTGCAAGACTGTTTGAGTTGCGCCGGCCTTGATCAATAGAATATGAATTTCCTTTCAGGATAAAAACGAAGACTTTACGATATGCAGTTACTTTCAGTGTATGTGATAATGAGATTAATACGTGACTAATGACAAAATGATATGTATGAATGGTGGAGGCATGCACTCCTCGCAACCGAAATTTATCTTCGCTAAATGGAAACGCTAGTGAATTCACCTAATCATTTGCCCTGCTCCAACTCCCCTGCCCCTTTTCAATTTTATTAACTAGTGTCGTTAGATTGGTTATTTACGCTTTAAGAGAAGACTTTCTTTGAGATTTGTTCCGATGAAAAGAACAGCGTTTGAACAACGAGTACAAAGAACGGGCTCTTTAAGTTCTCAAAGGAGGGAATGCCTCGGATCCCGTTCTAGCATTTCCTTTGTCCGATTGCATCAGAGCTATCAGAATTAAAAGCTTATTACTTATGAAGAACTAATGAATCCCTGAGAAAAGCTCGTCACTTTTATCAAGTACTTTAGTTCTTAATATATTAAACGCCAATGGCCAATAGAAGAGGACCCAGTGCACGACATCCTGCTGGTAGTAGACGACTGCCGGTCAAAAATCGTATTCCTGGTCTTATGCAGCAACCTGGCAGCGCCAATATAACGCCAAATATATCGTATACTCCCAGATTTAGTATAGAGCCACCACGCACACCACCTCCTGGGCAACCCTCCTCTTCTGATTGGGACTCTTACAATCCTTCGCAGCGCGAACAAATACAAGGAGAAGCATGGAGAAAATTAGCTGAAGCATGGCAACAATGGTCTGGATCTGAGAAAACATGGGAAGGAGTGCGACATCTCGGGCAAGGAGGTGCCGGCTCTGCAGATCTGTATCGAAAGATTAGAACGGAAGAGGGAACGGAAGCAATGCCTGAATATATTGTGGTCAAACAAGCTGACGGTTCAGATAATGATCTTTTGAGTGAATCGATGTTACTCCAATTATTCATGGGTAGAAACACGCCACATGTGCTGAAGATATATCAGGGATACCACGAAGGCGAGGTTTTACCACGTAACATTGGAGGAATGTTTGATATTGGGAGGCAGAATTTCCAAAAGCGTCAAAAGAGGTGTCAAAGCAGGATCTATCTTGAATTTTGCGAGAATGGTGATGTCGAAAACTGGATCGCAAATCGGATCGAGTAGGTTAACGTTACTATGGATTGATTAAGAAAAACACTGCTGAACCAATGATAGAAAGTCCGATACCGTACTTCAAGAGAAAGAGATCTGGAACATATTTGAGTGTTTAGCTCGAGCATGCATCATGCTCGAGAGGGGAAGTGAGAATTTAGGGGATGAAAATGATCGAGACTGGATCCCTATCTGCCACTTGGATATTAAGCCGGCAAACAGTAAGTTGCTCCTCTTTTGTTGTTCAATCTCAATGATGTTTATCGTTTCATTGCATAGTACTCATTGGAGATAAGGATGAAATTCATGACGTCGGCATCTTTAAGGTAACTTAGATCATAGAAGTCCACAAGTTCAAATTCATGGTTGGCTAATCCAATTCATAGATGGGAGACTTTGGTTTAGCAAGCCATGTCCCTAATAACCCACAAGATCCCGGATGGCTTGAACATGTTGCGAATAATTTGACGCTCGGATGGGGCGCGCCGGTATGTTAATCTGACTTAGTTATTTCCCCTATTTTACTACTCTCTAATCTCTTAAAGGAACAATTTTTTCCTCAAATGCAGAATCGTTTCTATAGTACACCTGCCAATGTCTTTGGCGTAGCTGCAATAGTATACTTTCTAATGACAAAACAACAAGTCAGAATAGGCCAAGACATGGCGTATGTAGGATTTCCATCATCAGACAGTGATCCCACAGTCGCACTACGGAAACTAGTGCTAACATGTGGACGGAACCTACTCGATGATCGTACGATAAAAGGCTCGGGTATCTATTCGAAAACTCTCACAAGAACGTTACTCCAATGTCTCACGTATTCACCCCATGAGCGCATGACTGCGAAACAATTACTAGATGTATGTACCACTGGTAGATTCCTCTGCAAGAATATGGAAGAGAAATATATATATGAAGATAGCCAGCCAGTGACCAATTATTGGCCAGAGAAAGTCGTGCCAAGCATTCCTAAGTATCAGGACCCCAAAAAACGTTTAAAATATAATCCAACCCACAAATCGATTGCAGAGGAAAAAGAGAGAGAAGAAATATTCCTGGCATCTTTTTGGGTAACTCAGCCTAAGCAATTAGCACCGCCAACCTCCTTTTCTGCAAGTGCCTTCAACTCCACGCTGGATTCCAGCTCAAGTTCAGGTGCAACCATGCCTTACAATTTTGGAAAGCTGTCCTCCGGCTCAAAATTGGGTGGCGCTAGTCCTTTTGAAACTGAAGATATCTCTGGCGTCGATTCAACTCCAGGGAGTAGCTTTATGTTCGGACAACATCAGCCTACATAGCCTTAGCTTGATAGCTCGAATGTTTTTGTTCCTAGCAACGCCTTTGGCACAACTAATTTTGAGTTTGAACAATGAAAGCCTTCAAATGCTCACTAAACATTGCTCAATCTTGTAATCAAGACATTTCATGGTTCAAAACCCTTTAGTGGTAGCTTTATTAATATAAGAGGCTTCAACTTCGGGTAGTGTACGATACATAGGTAGTGATTAGAGTCACCAAACACGAGTCGATATCGAAGACATGTTAATTGTATTTGACCATGCCATGTTATAACTGATGACTTACATATGAATTTAGTCTACACTCATCCGACTATCAAACTTCAAAAGAGAATGTTCGATGGGTGCACTAGCTGCCTACGGCAATTCAACTTGTGGAGAAGAGCTCCGAGAAAGAATATCAGAAACGAACATCTAAAAAGTGGTATTCATTACCCCCAGAAAGTTCCATGTTTTAAAGTCTATAAACGCCAAAACATAAGATCTCCTCACATTGTCTTCTATCAATGACACAATAACGACATTTATGTCGCGCACGTCAACGACACTTGTGTCCGATTGTGCGAACAGACAACCAGGGTATAGGCCTCTTGCCATGGCCTGTCATCTCTTGGCTCAATCTCTTCAAATTCCTGTAACATTCTTACAATCACAAACGATGCTTCAATTAATGCGAATTGTCCTGTGTCAAGGATTTCAGTCAGCCGCCAATGAAACACTTGGATTAACACGGAGAAACACGAGGAACTTACGCCCTAAGCAAATTCTTGGCCCTCCATTGAATGGTAAAAATTCCTATTTAAATTAGTATGAATGAGATGAGAAGGTAGTCGGATCTAGATACATACCCATTTCGGCTGTATATGATCCCAGCGTTCCGGACGAAAGGTTTCCACATCTTCACCGAATAGATCTTTGCGACGATGCATCGAGTACACACTGTATAGAACCTGGGTACCCGCTTTAACGAATAATGATGCTTGACCATCTTCTCCCCCACCACGTGGAAGACAAGTGTCGCGGACCGCTTCGCGAGTGTTGGCGGGGACTACAGGATGCATACGGAGAGCTATTCGATAAGCATCTGGTTTTGGACTTGTAATTGGAGATGGGCGTGGGGATGACACACGTACATTCGTTAATACATTGACGTAAATATTTCATATTTCGCAGATCGTTATACGTCGGCAACTGACCGTCAAGTTGCATGACTTCAGCTCGTAGCTTTCTCCATACATCCGAGTAACGTGCTAACATGAAGAAAAGATTACTAAGTAGACTAGCTGTTGTATCTCGGCCAGCAAGAAGGGTATTCAAAACCTGGTCTCGCAGAACCTGTCGGTCTGTGGTCAACTTGGCTATCTCTTCAAGAAAAATGTAGGGGCCAAAGTTGTCATCCTTCGTTTCCGTCTTGTTTTGGTCCTTCTTAAGCGCATCGAGAGCTACATCTATGTAATGATCGACATACTTAAAAACGGTCTTCTGAGCCCTGGTAGCTGCAGAGTTATATCGAAATCGTGCAAGTGGTCCGAGTCGTACATTATGAGATGCTTCGTGTTGGGTATAAGTATACTGTTCCACAAATTCTGCATCGGATACGCCACCCGAGGAATGGTCTGAGTTGGACTGGGAGTTGACGGAATGTCCAAATAAGAACTGGGTAGCTGTATCTATGGTGAATTTGAAAAAGAGATCTTGTAGATCAATAGTAGACCCTTCGCGAGGAATACGATTTAGTAGATGTTGGAAATGTAGCTCAGCAACCTCTAGATTAGATATACTCTCTTTTGCAAAAGTAGGCCGAAGGAGTGCGCGAGATTTGTGCCACAGTTTTCCATCAGTTGTGAAAATCCCGTGTCCGAACACGGGTTTCATTGCATCAACTCGAATAGACGAGAGCCGAAAATCATCAAATTTTGTTGCAAGAATAGTTTTGACGTTCTCTGTATCGATTGTGAAAACCGTGGGATACGTAATGAGTCTGGATGTAAAGGTTGTTCCGTGCTGTTCATAACGCCTCCAAGTTCCTTCGAGATGTCGTAGGTTTTTGGCATTTTTGATTGTATCCAATACCAAATCGAGACCAAATATTGGATCTTTCAAAGGGTATTCTACTTGAGCTGGTTCACAACCGTTTGATTTTTGAAATCGGCGTCTCGTGAAGTAAAGCTTGGTTTGCTTCAATATATGATAAAGAAGACATAAAGTTAAAGAAATCGTAATTATATTGGAGCTCATTCCATCGAATACTATCATATTTGCGATCAAGAAGTGACGTTAACTCTTTATGAGTAATTGATACTAGATATTATTAGCTTCTCGCTGTTGGTGGCGCTTCGAAAGATTTGAGGACAGTGACTGTTCTTTATGATCAATCTCAAATTTCTAAAAAGTAAGTATTCTGTCACTTTACATGCGTCAGAAACATAGCATCGCCCCATCAGCATATAGCAGGAGCTCATAATGTCAAAATTGCGTAAGGCCATGCCAAGTTGAAACCGGATTTCGAATTGACAAGCGTGGGCATTGAGAGGTGCAGAGTAGATCAAAAAAACTATAAATAGTAGAGATATAATAATCAAAAGCAACACAAAGTATCATACAGACTTATCTCTCCCATACATGTGTCATAATATGTCAGATCTGACCCCCAATTAAGAAAGCTTTTAACCCAGGAGATCACCAAGACATATCATACATCAAAGATACTACGGCCAAGTTAAAACTGGGGCTCGGATTGATAAGCGTAGATATCACAGATCCAAAGCAGATCTTTGACACTACTTCATGCAGAGAAGATTTTGACTCAGACAATCACTAAGAAACCGGTGTATTAAAGACGCCATATAGAGCTAAGTAAGAACTTTGACAGCTATCTCATCCACTGTTTTGAAATCGTAACAGCTTTTTTCTTTCCTTTTTTGAATGAAAATTGTAGCCTTTGATTACAGATCGTAACGTATTATTACAGATCGCATATTAGGAATTTTTACACCTTACAACTAATTGTACATCGCACAACTGTAGATTGCACAACTGTAAATCGCACAATATAATTTTAGAGGGCGAGATCTCACATCCCGCGTGATATCAATCAAAACTTATTGTTATAACCATGCGACACATCAGCTTCAAGGAATCTTCACTTGGTCCCCATTCAATTCTCCATGAAAGTCTAAATCATTGTAAATTGGTTTCTGTTTATCGTATCGTGTTCTCACATATAATCATAGTTATCAATGCGTGTGAATACACTATTCAATTGTACAGTCAGCTTCATATTGTTGGATATATACGATCTGCGGTGAATGTTATGAACTCTCAACATTCATCACTGTTTGTCCCAAAAAGTCTTCATTTTTGGCCCAAAGACAGACACGTATAATTTCGCACGGCATATGATAGTGACAAGAAATGGGCATCAAGAAAAACAAACCCATGGCCATGCGATAAGGATCAACTCCGTGATATGTGAACGGGTGCTATTAACCGATGCGCGGGTAGACATGTCAGAAAATATCTGTATAACACTGGGAACGTCAGATTCGAAATACAATGAACGCCATATGATGAGCACTTTGAAATCAGTTTTCTAATGAAATCGCAATATTGATCCTAATACGTAGCGGTGAGAGGATGTAAGCTGAGAACAGAACAACAGGAAGCATGGTGAGGATAACAGCAGTCAGGGGTGCTTTAAGTAGATAGTGATATATACAGCTGGTTCATCCAAGTACGCTCTTAAATAGGATCACACTAACGTGGTTTTTCTATGCAAGCTTTCAAATCAATACTTCGAGTATGCTGATATACTCCCACTTGACCATTAACATGCCAAGATTCAAAGATTCAAGGAATAAATCAAAAAGATCGATGTAACCTTACAATCATTAAGTGGAAATAAGCTAAGATGATATGGTTGATTTTGAACGTAAGACTCTACGAACTCGCCATTTGTATCAACCAATACTGATTGAGTTGACCATAGAGTCAATATTGCGACGCTGGTCTCAACTAGTCAAAGATATCAGTGTACGTAAGTACAGACGACGAAGGCACTGTCAGGAGTGAGATGTAAGTTTGTGGGCCACTCCCATCCCGAACCGTATGAGTCAGCTGAGACTCTCCGGATTAAGTTTCCAATGAGAAAAATATTGACTTGGTCAAACGACTAGAAAGAACCAATACTTTTAAAAGTTTATTTGCGTCGCCAATTGCATGTTCACGAACTCCGACAACTGCTTTCTCTAAGATCGTAAAAAAGCCTGCGGCTGTAATTCTTACTTCTGACAATGTGTTTAGCAACATTTTGTCGGAGAACAAAGTGCCTGGTCAGATATTCATTTCTCAGGAGACTCGGGGCCCACTGTCAGCAATTTTAAGCGAGGTGCCCGACACCGCCTTGTGCCATCCGTCAACATAAGCACCATTATAAGTTACATGCTCTGAAATATGTGGTCAGACATTCCAAGAAAGGTAAAAATTTGTCTCCCTTGACGATGCTAATCGAGCAATTTTGATTTCGTGTCATCTGCTATTCTCATCATGTGCAAGGAAGGTTGATACCTAGTAGTAAGATGTACAACGAAAGGTTGTTTTGTTGCGTTTGACATATGTACCTAAACTCATATGCATCTGGGTTGACTCATTATGCAAGGCTTGAGGCCAGTAGTTGGGTTGTCTTTCTGTAACCGTTGATTTATTTCTGGAGCAACGGAACTGTTCAAAACCCCTGCATTGACTGTAAAGACATCGACAATACTTGAACGGTTTGCTTCATACCTTTTGGGATTTTGATCCACATTTAATACCAACTCTGATAGAGTATGGATATTTCAACAATTTCCGATGAGTTTCCAGTCGGACAACTCAAGGCAGAGTGTCTGGGTCCTGAGATACCCGGCCTAAATCAAAGCCTATGGGACATGTTTGCTGCGGCTGCAGATAAACATTTGAATGAAGAAGCTCTTTGTTCGCTTTGGCAGCCTCCAGACCACCTTAGCTCAAGACTCGAAATCGGACAAACAGACCCGGAGCATATAACACCAATTACCAATGAAAATGGGGTCGGGATGGTCACGCCTAAGCCATGCTCAGCATCACTGAGATGGACCTTTGGCCAGCTTCGGGAGAAGGCCGAGTCATTGGCAACTTGTTTGCAACAACGTGGCTGTATTAAGGGTGACAATCTTGTAGTTTTTGTCTGGAATTCCGCAGAATGGGTCTTATTTTTGTGGGCTGCCGCGAGGCTCAAAATGCCATTTGTACCGTTGGATCCAAGAAGTTCCGATAAAGATGTTATGAATTATCTGAGCCTAGCTCCTCCTCAAGTCTTAGTTGTTTTAGATCCAGACATGTTCCCGATACTTGAAAGTTTCGGAAACGTCAAAGTTCGGATATCACTTTCGAAAGTTTCCGAAGGGAGAATGAATTGGCATTCACTGCCTGGACTAATGGGCAACTTGCCGATTGAAAACATTTCATTTACCCCTTTGAATGATGATGGTAAGGAACCGAGTCAGGAGCTTGCAATGATTCTCTTTACGAGTGGGACAACTTCAATCCCAAAAGGATGTCCTCACACTGCATCAAACATCTGGTCCGCAACATTCGACTATGATCCTGTTGCCCGGAAAAACGGCTGTCAGAACAAATGGCTCATTCACACGCCCGTGTGGCATATCTTTGCAATAGGCCAAGCTATACGAGGTTGGAGGGATGGAAGCTCTGCAGTATTTGCTACCGAAAAGTTCGACGTGACTGCCTCCTTACGAGCGCTTCAACAAGAGAATATTACACATGTTGGAGCGGTTCCTCTTTTAGCGAAAGCACTTGTCACACATCCAGAGTTTCCTGGCAAGGATTCCCTGTCTCTATCGTACGTAACCATGGGAGGCACATTAATAAAAGATGAAGATGTTAGGTTCTGCAAAGAGCATCTTGGTAGCGAGGCAGTTATTCAAGGCTTCGGTATGACAGAGGGCTCCCCTATGGTAAGCTGGAGGCGCGATGATCCAATGCTTAAGAACGGCTATCATCTCGGAGTGGGAAAAGTTTTACCAGGTGCTAGACTGAAAATATGTTCCCCGAAATCTAATGTGCCTCTGAATAAAGACGAAGCTGGAGAACTCCACATTGGCGGTACTTCGGTCATCGATGGATATTTGAATGGTATAGATTCAGAGTCATTTTACACGGATGACGTTGGGAAGTGGTTTATCACCGGCGATCAAGCTATGATAGATGCAGATGATGTCCTCTACATCAGTGGACGATATAAAGACATCATCATTCGTGGAGGTGAGAACTTGGTCCCGTCGAAAATAGAATATTGCCTTCGGGACCTTGGCATAACCGTAAGTACCAGCCCATGAAACCAATTTTTAAGCTGACCGTGAAAATTACAGGCTCAAGCAATTGGTCTCGTGGATTCCATAGCCGGTGAGGTTCCCGTCGCAGTCTTACAGTCTTGTTCGAGGGAAATCACTAAGGCGCATATGACCAAAGCTATAGTAGAAACTTTGGGTCAGGCATATGCACTCCATTCTATCATAACATTAGATGACCTTCATCTAAAAGCCTTTCCAATGACTGCGACAGGAAAGATTCGGAAGGTGGAATTGAAAGACATCGTCAATAAGCATTTCGCCACAATCTCAGAAGTGAAAACAACAAACCCCAGCGAAAAATTAATTGCTCAATTGCGGGGGATCTGGGCAGAGCTTACGAACGCAACCCCAGATCAAATTTCGGTGGAAGACGATGTAACAAATTTTGCTGATAGCATTACAAGATTGAGGTTTTGTAAGATCTTGTGGACCAGACTTGGTCAAAGATTGTACTTGCCAGATTTAGAGAAAAACAATACCATTGAGCAGCAGACAAAGCTTCTTATGGAACGGAGCTATCATGCAGACTCATCTACTTTCCTTTCAGATAACTTAAGCTATATTGAGGGCCAAAGCAATCCGAATGCATCTCATCAATCCGGTCGGAAAGTACCACATTCTCAGGGGGGAAGCATGCGCCAGCATCATCATACTTTGATCGAGACAACTAACGCAGCTCTGCAAAAGTTCGGTCTAACATGGGAGAATGACATAGAAGATGTTTTGGCAATCAAAGACACATTTTAGGGGTTCGCAAAAGGACAAAGACCACAATCATATCGCCACAGAATAGCGTTCGAAATCAAGGATAACAGTTCTAGCCAGGTCCGTGCAGCATTAGAAAAGTCTCTTTTGACCAGACCGGTGTTGCGTACAATTTTGGTCGAGGTTTCGGGTGCGCCAGCTGTTCACGCGGTCCTCCGTCCATCTCAAGCTGCGTACGACATGCTGATCTCGCAGAGGAATCTCGCTCACGAGTTAGAAATTCAAGAATATCTAATTGATGATTCCGACCAAAACTTTGACGATCGAATGTTCCAAGCTATAATTGCAGATATTGAAGGCGAAGATACATCAGCGTTGATCTTGACTTTGAATCACTCTGTCTTTGATGCATTGTTCGCATATGGATGGTATAGCGATCTCGATATGTTCATACAAAATCCAAAAGCAACAGCGACCCCTGGCACGCCCTTTAGATTTTTCGCTGATATGTATCAACAATACCAAGATAGCTCACTCGCTCTCTCAGATGTCAACTTTCATGTTAGAAGGCTTCGAGGTATTTCAAGATTTACCGAGGCTCTATGGCCACCCAAACGAGCTCCTGGTTGGATGGTTGGGAATGACAGGAGATCGAAAGATTTCATCACTCGTAATACCAAAAGAAGGAAGCTTAACATAAATCCGCAGCCAAGACCAAGACTTGCGCGAATGCAGGATTTCCCCGATATTGAGCGGCTTCGGACGCAGCACTTTATCCAGGCACCAGTCATCGTCAAAACTGCTATCTCCATTTTCAATATCATACAAACGGGAAAGCCATATGCTATCTTCAAGAACTTCGACGCAGGTCGTAATTGGCCATTCCTTCCAGAGTGGATTGCAGATCGCCTGCCTCCTGCCATGAGCATTGATGGTCCCACTTTGACTTGGAACATGAACATGATAGAGATCAAGCCAAAAGAAACTTGTGGTGAACTTCTAAGAAGAATGGGCGAAGATGATAAAGCACTGAGTTCGCACACTCATGCACCATGGTTCAAAATCCTGCGTGGGCTAGGCGAAGACGAGGGGCCTATTGCGAAAGAGGCTGCGATGAGACAAGTATTCAATTGGGATTTAAGCTTGAAGTATCTTGATTCTAGTGTTGGCGATTATTCGACTCTGAAACCTTTGGGAAGGATGGACTGGCCTGACTGGTGAGAAATCTTGATCTTCGAAATTTTCAAAAATGTCACTAACCCAAAATCCATAGTGGCTTCTTCTGGAACTGTGGTATGGTAAATGCGGAACGCTTCTGCTGTGTGGTATCCTGGGACGACACGCAATTAGATAGCACTGAAATCAACGGCTATGTGAGCAAATTGCTTGAGATCATCGGGTGGATCACAAACTCTAAGAACTGGAACAATTCGGTGTCGAGCTTTCAAGGGTTTCCGATGATGACGTAAAAGATGATTATTTTGGGAGGAATAAACTGTGGGTAACAAAGGGACTGGCCGTCGGCCAAGGAGTTCAATATCTTGCTATAAATTTTACCCTATCCATGCGTATTCTAATAGTCGATGCTGCATAACTCCGGGAGAACGTGGTTGTCTGCAGCGAATCCCTTGAATTCCCATTTCATGCTTGCTATACAGAGAATTTGAAAGTAGTGGTACGAGAGTTCCAAGTTTAACTCGAACCTCTCCGATGTACTCGCACTGTTTGAGAATAAGCTCTAAAGCTCTATCTTTCCTTCATATTCAATCTTTTGGTGTCTTGATCAACAAAGCATCGTTGTTACAGACAAGATGAAATTCTCCACAAAGTCGGTACTTCTTGCCATTTCGATAGATGTTCAAGTTTAAGGCTGGTGTGCCTGTTCTATTCCAAGTCCACTTAATCTGTCGAGAAACTTGTGGGAGGTGAAATATTCACACTCGCCAATGTGCACGACATAAGAAATCAAGATCTGGTGCGCTCAAGTCTGTGATTGATGGTCCCCCCGATACATTGTTACTTCAGATAACCTTGTAGTTTCATGTCCGGTGTAATGAAATAGGCATTGAACGCGGAAATGCATCCTTTTCCAACAAACGCAGGAGTTTAAAGTCCGATCGGGATACTTTAATGGGTATATCATCACGGCACCTGGAGCCCACTCTCAGTGTCATTTAACGAGGCTTGTGGAGATTATACTCCGCAAGGCGAGATCAAATCCTCAAAAGAGGAGCAAAGAAGAAGAAACGAACGGAAGTGTCTTAGTTGAAGGGTCGATCATGTCCAAAGAAGAAATAGGTTATCCTTATATGTCATAAACTCTTGAATAAGAACACATGGGGCGTTTGATGAGTAATGGTTTTGGTATGAGAAGCGATGGAGAGTCAAGGTGTCTGTTTGCGTGTATTCTATAATTTTGCAATAAGAAAAATGAAGAGACCAAGGAGATTCTACTTCTCCTCCACGAATCACGGCCAGCGTGTGGACTCAACTCACTTGATTCATGGAGAGAAAATTCCGTCAAGTTGATGAAATCGGACCGAAGTCACGTGTAATCAAATTTATGAAGAATTGTACCACACAGAATAACTTAAAGTAAAAAGCAAAAACAAGCTTCTGATGATTTCCTCCTCATCCCTACTCAATGTCTGTCACGGATCTCTAACTTGTCGATCTCGCCTTTTCCCATATGTATGAAAGTTAATTCCGAATTCTTTAGAGGAACCGACAGCAGCCGACAGGAACTACTTTACATAGGTATCTGGTACCGGTACAATGCTACAAACCATCAGGACCACAAAAAACCTTTTCCCACTAAGGACCAATAGCTCCGCATGATCCACATACTGAATCAAAACATGGCTTCAACGTTTAACTTTTCTACTTTGCCATTGTTAGATATCGATCCTACCCACAAAATTCCCCTCCGTCGATGAAATTATGACGACTTTTCAATTAGGAGTCGCCGTCCACATCATGCTATATGAGGCCACAATGCTCAGGGTAAGTGGGAGACCTCTTGTAAGTGTATTTCATTCATTCGCAGAGATTTGTTCTGTATCTTGTTGCCTTTTGATATCGTGTGTAAGTGAGTGAAGAAAGGCAACATCAAACACAATCGGCGTTCTCATGGCAGATCATCAAGATGAGGGGCGAGAGACTGGACAAAACACTCCAGCGCCGTCGGTCAGAGACGGCAGCGTTAATACACAAAGAACTACGAGAACCACGAGGTCCGCGAGGAACGTTCGTCCAAATGGGCAACCCCACGGCTCCAAAAGATCACATATGCCAAGTTTACGGCCCCAAGGAGTACGCCAACCAACAAATAATACACCACTCGAAGATCGACCACAATACTCACTAGCTGGTAATAATGGAGGGGTTCAACGCGAACCTCATTATGTCGACAGAGAATACTATGATTTTAATCCAAATTACCAAAAACCAAAGGATCAGCCGGTATGGGGATTGGCGAAACCTCTGCCGCGAGTGGTCAGGCCAGGGATGAGACGAGGAAGACAGGGCGCGGTCGAGAATAAGGAGGCAGAAAATGCAGAGCCAGGAAGTTCTGAGGCTATACCGCAACTTGGAATGATTGACGATCAGAGGAAAGGGCAGGCAAAAAAGAAATCGAATCGACTTGGCAGAAATGAGGAGGATCGAGGTTATGGTCATCAACAACAAGAGCGGGGACGGAGACAAAGCTACAGATCTAATAGGCAGGATTCCGAGAACTTGATATTGGATCACAATGGCACTCCGTTAGCCGAGAGAGACAACCCTATGGACGAGTGGAGATCTCCTCAGGATGATGGGGAAGGGGACCTGGGCCGACAGAACACGACTCGACTTTCTGATGTTGAGGAACATCCCTCAGGATCAACGCTAACTCATCATTCTACGACACAAAGTGCAGACTTTGCAAACGACGAGAACGACGATGAGCTTGATTTGGAGAGGGGAGATAAGGTAGACGACGATGAATGGTCTTTAAGTAGTGAAGAAGCGGAGCAGTATATGCAAGAGGAAAGAGACAACCACAATGCTTTGGCAGCAATTCGTGAAAGATTTCGTGAGCCATTAGCCGAGTGCTTAGCAGTAAGTCATTTATCTACCAGTGGTGATCCCACAATTGATTGATTTGACACATCTAACGGGGCCATAGACCATGATAGCAGTCCTCATTGGTATAGCCACCAATCTTGCTGTTCAAACATCGGCAGACACTTCAGGCAATTATCAATCCACAAATTGGGCTTGGGGGTTAGGCATCACAATAGGTATTTACATCGCAGGTGGAATTTCCGGTGCTCATCTTAATCCCGCCATATCCCTTATGTTATGTATATCTAGAGGCTTCCCTATACGAAAAGCATTTATCTATATCCTCGCCCAAATCCTCGGCGGTTTTCTTGCCGGACTCATCGCATACGGCATCTACAAAGATGCAATTGCCACATACAATGCTACTGGTGGCACACTCGGTAATGGCCAAGTAGTCAACCTACTAGCCGGAGGCACAGGGACATCTTTCTACACACAGCCTCAAGCCTTCGCTAGTCCTTCTGCTAGTTTCTTTAACGAATTTGTCGCCACGGCCATCCTTGCCTGCACCGTCCTCGCCCTTGGAGACGACTCCAACGCACCCCCAGGAGCAGGTATGCACGCGCTCATCGTCGGTCTTGTCGTCACTGTACTCACTATGGCTTTCGGCTACACTACTGGTGCATGTCTCAACCCGGCCCGAGATTTCGGCCCACGCCTCGCCACTGCAGCAGTAGGTTACGGCAGTGAAGTTTTTACCGTCTCGAATGCATGGTGGATTTATGGAGCTTGGGGCGCAACAATCACGGGTGCGTTAATTGGAGGTCTATTTTATGATGTGGCTATTTTCGTAGGAGGCGAGAGTCCGGTTAATTATCCGAGAAAAAGGAGAAAGCAAATTGCGAAGAATGCAAAGGGAAAGGCGGAAAAGGGATGGTGGATTTTCAAAAGGGACGTAGAGATGGGGTTGAAAGGGGATTTTGGGAAAGAGGGATAAGTTTTTGCTTTTTCAATTGGGGTCAACTTATATTATGAATATCAGGCGTTGATGGAAAAGTAAAGGTGTTGGGGGTTTATGTTTCACATGTATAGCGTTGAGTTTTTCTGATTCTTTGGTCCTTTGATAGGAAGTATAATCCATTATATAATATTTACTATCTCCTACATATCACATTAACCACTTCATTCATCTACTCACGCATCCATCCATCCGTCTATTCATTCGATTTGTTTTACGCGCTATATAAAACTTGATATCGTTACATCAACAACCCCAAACCTCCAGCTACTTACTACCTATCTACTGTCTGAATCGAATAACACATATATCTATCTACCGTGGATAACTACACCACGGTTTTCTTGTTATTTATCTACTCCCTTTTATTTCTACTTGTTACTTGTTCATCTAGTTATCCATCTAGTTATCCATCTAGTTATCCATACACTCATCTACTCATCCACTCTCCCATTCACTCACTCACCTACTCACTACTCACCTACTCATCCACCTATTCACTCACTCACTCACTCATCCACTCATCTACTCATTCACTCACCTACTCACTCATCCACCTACTCATCTCCTTTCCTATACACATAATATACACATAATATACACATAATATACACATAATATACACATAATATACACATAATAAATAGATAAACGCAGAGGTAAACAAATAGATGAACCAAAATAATATATATATATAATGAATATAAAAATATTAAACAAACAAACAACTTTAAAAAATAAATAAATGATAAATAGCAAATACATAAATATTTGACATATACTAGTAGATAGGTAGGTATATGGATATCTAGTCCTCTCCTTGCCTCACCTCTTCTCTCCTCTTCCTTTCCTCGCCTCACAAACCCATTTCATTTCATCTCATTTCATCTCATCTCATTTTCCAACCCAAAAAAAAAAGTTTCTCTAGAATTCAAGCTCGAGTTATTCTTTTCCTTTACTCCTTTATATAAAAAGGATAAAAATCATACATACATACATACATACATACATACATACAAAACATCAATCCAATTCAATCCAATCAATCCCGCATTTACTATTTACACATCTACAATATCTATCTACTAAATAGGTACTCTAATTCTTCTATTCTATCTGTTAAAATTCTAATCTTAACTTTTATCAATAAATAGATATCCTATTCTATTTACCTCATTGTCTCTGTCCCACCCTACCCTATTCTACTCTATCCTATCCTATCCTGCTCATCCACTAATCGACCCACAACCCATCCTCCACCCAACCACCCATTCCCGATCTATTCCCCTAAAATCCATCATCTACCTAGTATCCCTTCCCTTACCCTCATAGCTCCCTGCCCTCCCTCCCCTCCCTCCCCCCCAAACAATCCCTCTACACACAAAACTTCTTCAACCTCCACACTAATCCCCATATATTGGTTCCCCCATCTCCCCATCCCCTCATCATAACAGTACTTTTCTCTACTTCAGCGCCCAGGATTTTTGAATGAAGAAGCGAAGGAAAAGAGAAGACGAAAAAAAGACGAAGAAGGGATAAAAGTCAAAAAGTCGGTATTGAAGTTATATGTTCATGAATTGAAGAGGCCTCTTCCATTTTTCTCCCTAAGGATTGTAATGGGAAGAAAGAAAAGGTAGGTTATGCACCTATTGCAGCTTCCCGCTGTAAACCTATCCCGAAATTGGACTCGAAGGAATCTTTCAGAAGAGCACTTTGAGAGTTCCCTTCTACTTCCAGTAAAATTATGTACCACCTAAGCACGCTTAAACCTCCAACGCCAACCTTCCCAAAACCCAGAACAAGAAATGAAGAGTAAGTCGCATCCTCTTTCCAAAATCGAGGTCACCTCAAACTTTATACACCTTTTACATGACATCACACTTTCCATCCCCATCACCCCCATTTGGATTGACACTCAGTGCGACTCTAGCCGCCTCCGTAAACGCCTCGTTAACTCCTCTATTCCTCATCGCCGAACATTCCAAATATCTGAGCGCATTGATTCTCCTCGCCACCTCCAAGCCTTGATTGTAGTCAATCATTGGTTTCTTTTCCCTTGGTTCTGCACCTTCTGTTCCCTCTGCCGCTTCATCGTCTGCACCTTGTTCCCTCAAATCACATTTCAATGCAACTAAAACGAGCTTGACACCTTGACAATTCTCAGCGATTTCGCCTACCCATTTGGACTCGACATTTTCGAGGGAATCTTTCGAGTCGACGGAGAAACAAAGCATTATTGCGTGCGTATCATCGTAGGAAAGCGAGCGCAATCGATCGAATTCTTCTTGGCCGGCTGTATCCCATAGAGAAAGTTCGATATGTGTACCATCGACGAAGATATCTAGATGACGCAGGAACGTGAGTCGGTATTCCGCGGAAATGATGGCGTAGTCATGAATTGATTGAAGAAATTGAAAAATGAGGCACTTACCATGAACGTAGTTCTCAAAAACTGTAGGTTCGTATACCGTTGGGAAATATCTAAAATTCCATCATCAGTTCCTCTGTAATCACAACCTCAAGATAACGTCATAAGAATCCAAAACGTACCCTCTTGTAAAAACGTTTAGTAAACTCGTTTTTCCACAAGCACCATCCCCTCTATAATAACAAAATAGGGTTAGCAATCTTATCCTTCTTTCCGGAATCCAATCTTCAACAGTAGATCAATTGAAGTCGTAATCGCAGTATCAAAATTGAATATATCATTTCCACCACTGCGCCTCCAATGCGACTCAACCCCGACTGTACTTTCGTCGCATAATTTGATCCATATGATAGAATCACTTGTACATAATTTCATGGTAGGGAAATCCTCAATGCAGACAAGTAAATGTAAAATACAACATACAATAAGACCAATTTCCTCTGGGTAGTTTTCGAGCCTCCGAGTCCGCACGGCATATTGAATATGATATGATGTAGGATTTGGTAGGTAAGGATGTCGATATGTAATGCGAAGGAATATCTCTCTCGTAGTATATTTCGTAGGTGGTGGTAGAAAGTGACAATCGGATGTTAGAATTGTGACGGAATGATGGCAGAAGGATGAAGGATGAAGGATGAAAATGATAATTCCAGGATTGAAAAGTAACTGGATGGTATGGGATGGGATGGGATGGAATGGATGTGGATGTGGATGTGGATGTGGATGGATGAATGGATAGACCGAGGATTGAGCCTTAAAGGGGCCAGGCCAAAGAATGACTAGGGTGGGTGGGTAGGTAGGTAGTAGTAAGTAAGTAGGTTATTTTTATTATTGAATAAGTTATCCGACTTGTTAAGCTTGATGAAGTGTGTATAATTGGATAGCAATCAATTCATCAATATATCAATGATGTATATATATATATATGGTAGTAATAACCTTGGAATGATAGTGAATCAAAGGATATTTGAAGATTCCCAATAACTATCTATCTACCCAGGCAAGGAATCTCTGTGCGAGTCTATTCCGTATATAATATTTGATATCTACTATCAAGGTATCTGGTATGTATGTGGTGAGCTGGACCAATGCTTGCTTGGAATAATTGATATATTAGAACGAGCCGTGTTACTGAATATATATATATCCCTTATCAACAATCTAGATACCTAGGCAATACCCATCTATATCCCCAAATCCGTGAAGAAGAAATATGACCAAGTCTCCCCAAAGCTTTAATATAGTAAATGAAGTAATGAAGTAACAAAATCACATCAGATGACACTATGCACTTTCTCCATGTTTTCTTTTGACCTTATCACCTTTTCCTTTCTTTTGCGATCGATGCGAAGAAACTCTCCAGACACCTACCTGCATACCTGCATACACCTAATACCTACCTAGTAGTATTGAAGCACGATGCGAACAATTACCGTATCTCCGGAGTGAGAATTTTGGCATCGGGGGAGGGGGGGAACAAAAAACTAATGCAGCCAGAAAAAGCAATACTTCGCATGCCCGATATAGGTATCACTCCGTACGTAGCTGGAGAATGTTCTAGGTAGATATGTCATATCGTGGGGGAAAGATGAAGAATCTGGAGTCATGAGAGAAGGAGGGTATATATCAATACACGATGAATCTATTTCTTATTTCAATCTCAATAACGTGTCTAGATACGATACGGTATATATTAATACTGTCTGTTCTGCAGTCTATCATTTACAGTCTCTATCATTAGCCACTTTCTTACATTTCTCTAAATTCTTTATAATATAGTACATTTATATATATAGTTATATAACTTATATATACATGAATAACAAATTACCCACTGTGGCTGATTTCCGGGAATTTATTTTGACATTTTGTGTGCCTCAAAAACCTCAATGGACAATGAAAAATAGAAGAGAAAATTTTTGATGGAACCAAGCGGATGATCGTCACATGGGGGGGAGGGGGGCAATCCTTGAATAGGAGGAGATTGCTGCTGTACACTCTGTAGAGCCGCGGGTCCATAAATGAGTCTTGCCTTGTTCAGAGTGGATCAATCAACATTACGAGTGGGCTCGAGGTGGAGAGCATTTCGACTTTCCAAATTGGAAGCTTAGATTACAATTGCTTTTCTAATCTGCAATCTTGCGCAATGTGAAAAGCATAATAACAACACCGAGTCATCAAGTTCCCATGACAATGAAAACCCCCATGCAATTTGCCATACTTAAGGGTATTCGAGCAATAACACACCTCCATTATCTTCCACATAAACAGAATAACAAAAAAACAAAATCATTCCTCTTCCTTGATAAATCCTTGTCCTGCACGACGCCCGATTCGATCACCGAGATTCATATTTCCAGCGGTTCGATTGAGACCATTGATGAAATCGCCTTTATCCGAGTACTTTGATGTGTTTGTTCGTGCTCTATCCTCAGCTTCATGGGCAGCCTTCTCCTGTTCCTCCAATGCCTTTAGTCGCTTCTCACGATCAGTTTCCAGACTTGATGCATCTTGCTGCATAGCGGCCAATTTCTTTTGTCGCTCAGCCTCCTTCTCTTCTTCCGAAGGTCCATCCGGCTGCTGTCCACCGTGAGGTCTTCTATCATCGCGTCTGCCGTACCCATTTCCATTACGTTGATTTTCGTATCTGTTTCCGTTATCCCTTCGGTCGTAACCATTCCTTCTATCATCTCTATCTGCTGGGTAAGATTTTCTCCTGTCCGGGGACCTTCGCCGTTCTGGCGTGGGGGATCGGGAATCTGGAGATGAATTATTTCTCCTTCTCTGTCTTTTGTCTTGATCTCTCTCTGGTCTGCTATTTTGACGTTCATTTGGTGACACGGGTCTTCGGCGGTCGTAGTCTCTTTCTCTTGCTGACCGTCCTCTTTCTCTATTATCCGGTGATACTGATCTTGGTTTTCGTGATCTGCCAAAACTATCACGTCTTTCGATAGGGGAGCGAGATCTTGAATATGAATCCGAACGTCGTCGATATTCATGTTTACGACTTCTGCGATCTCTGTCATCATCGTAATTATCACCACTTCTGCGACGCTTGCGACTGCGATCATCTTCCCGACTATCCCTATTTTCATCTTTCCTACGCTTTCGTCTTCGCTCTTCATCGTCGTCATCATGATGTCGATGATGGTGTCGATGTTTTCTTTCCTTCTTCGGCTTAACTTCCTTGGTGTCCTGGCCAGCCAATTCAAGTAGCTTGCGTCGTTTGATTGGATCATTCATCATAGCCTCATATGCAGCCTGCTCCTGTCTTTTGATCGCAAGCATGGGATCCTCACGAACCTTAGCTGCTGTGTCTCGTAGAGTATTTGCATTTTGTAAAGCCATGAAACTAGCCTCGGAAGCTTGTTTCTCGAGATTCTTGTGCTCTGTGCCTTTGATTAATCCATCAATGCGTCTCTTTCCAAGAAGATAACCTTCCATCTCTTCAGTGGTTCCAGTTTGCCCACTTGATGGACCTTGATACATCCAATCGACACGATCAACTCGCTTCCTCGATCCGGCGGCTTCGAGTTTGTTTTGAATCTCTTCCTTCGCCCGTTCTTCTTTAAGCTCCTTAATCCTCTGTTCTGTACGTCTTCTTTCTTCGAGGGCTTTCTTCTCTTCCTCCCATACCCGCGTTTGATTCTTCATCAAATGGGGATGCCATGACTTCTTCAGATTGAGATCGCCACCCATTTTGAAAGTTGTTTGATGTTATTGTAGAAGCAAATTCAAGATTAAATCGTGGTCGCAGGTCAGAACGTTTTTACACACAAATAATACCAAATATGGAAACCGAAGAATGAAGGGACGAATCCTAATCCAAGATAATATTATTCGTAATCAAGAACTGCGCTATGTATAAGTTGCAGTGATTCTTGACGATAAAATATAACCAAATGTTTAATGTTCATCGCAAGGCGGAAAGAAGCATTTCAAAATCGGAAAGGCAGGATAGACGCTAAGCGACTTGTAGCCAATCAAACAAGACTGCGGGGATAGCTCTAGGCAAACGACACACAGCCTTATCACTGTACCGTACCTCAACCTTTGACGTTCCGTGATATATTTAAACTCGTCATTACGGAACCTCCAAATTCTTTTGAATAAATACGAACATAATTCATCAATACGGATCCTCGTATACAAACATCGCGCCTTACAATTAAACCAAAAGAATCGCAAAAATGTCTGACGACGATGATTTCATGCAAGATTCAGACCAGGAGGAGTATGTCAAGCCTTACCAGAGATCTGATGGGTAGCTGACGTTCATAGATATGACTTCGAATATGAAGAGAATGACGACGAGGAGGATGAAGATGTCGGTATTGAGAACAAATACTACAATGCCAAACAGATGAAATCTACAGATCCTGAAGGTGCGATCGAGGAATTTTTAGGAATTCCAGCTCTCGAGCAAGAGAAAGGCGATTGGGGATTCAAAGGATTGAAACAAGCTCTAAAGATGGAATTCAAGCTTGCTCTATATGACAAGGTAGGGTTTTTGTCTGTTTCGCATGATTATTTCTAACAATTCATCAGGCTGTTGAACATTATCTTGAACTTCTTACCTATGTCAAGTCCGCAGTAACGCGAAACTACTCGGAAAAATCTATCAACAACATCCTCGACTTTATTGAGAAAAAGACTGAAGACGATGCAGCGAGGAAATGCATGGAGGAGTTTTATTCAAATACCCTACAATCTTTTCAAAGTACCAATAATGAACGATTGTGGTTGAAAACTTGTATCAAGCTGGCGAAACTCTGCCTCGACCGCAAGGATTACGCTGCGACAACAAAGAAATTACGAGAGCTTCGCAAGGCATGTGAATTGGAAGATGGTACAGATGATCCAAGCAAGGGCACCTACTCCTTAGAGATCTACGCACTCGAGATTCAGATGCATTCCGAAACGAAGAATAACAAGCAATTGAAGCGCTCATATGAAAGAGCTTTGAAGGTCAAATCAGCAGTCCCACATCCTAGGATTATGGGTATCATTCGAGAATGTGGTGGGAAGATGCATATGACTGAGGAAAACTGGAAGGATGCACAGAGTGATTTTTTTCAATCATTCAAAGATTACGATGAAGCTGGATCTTTACAGCGAATCCAGGTTCTCAAGTATCTTGTCTTGACAACCATGTTGATGAAATCCGATATCAATCCCTTCGAATCCCAGGAAACCAAACCATATAAGAATGATCCTCGCATCGCCGCAATGACCGATCTTGTCGATGCCTATCAAAGAGATGATATTCACAGATATGAAGAGGTTTTAAAAAACAACAAAGATCTTATGTCCGATTCCTTTATCCGTGAAAATATTGACGAGATCACTCGAAATATGCGGACCAAAGCCGTGGTAAAATTGATTGCCCCCTACACCCGTTTCAAGCTCGACTTCATTGGCAAAGCTCTCAAAATTCCCGTCTTGGAGGTCCAAGATATTTTAGGTTTTTTGATCGTCGATAAGAAGGTCAACGGAAAGATCAACCAACAAGACGGAACTGTTGAGATTGAGGACAATAGTGATGCAGATCGTCTCAAGGCAATGCATGAATGGACTACAGCTATAGGTTCATTATATGAAACCATTTTCTCAGAGAGTGAGGGCTTTAGGATGAATGATGTCAATCAAATTGGAGATATAGACAAGGATGCAGGTTCTATGGGCGGATATATGAACCCGGCTAACACGAGCAACGTGAGGTTTGGTGGGCAAAAGGGAGGTAGATATACACTGGGTGGAAGGGGTAAGAAGGGATGGTTAGGATGATTTGATCGATCAATCTAGTGAACACTAGGTACGATATTGATACCATGAGATCACATGGAGTGTATGGGAGTCGGGAGTTGATGAAGAAGCTTAAGGGAGATCATAGTAATGATGATAGACGAGTTACGATCATGGATAGGTACTCTCTCCTAGCTACCTACCCATCCACCATAAATACATATATTAATGAACAGAAACATAAAATTTCATTCTCTTCGTCTATGCTGGAATCTAATACTCATCTCTCTTATCTATTCATGCATGTAGTAATGATGATCCAACATTATTCCTTCCAAAACTGCTGAAAAGTTTCAATGTATCATCATGTATGCATGCACGCATATTCTTTGATTAAATCATCGCGAGATGGCTGTGGTTGTGAGTGTGGCTGGCGGAAATGGAGTGGAGGATAAACATAATATACATATATGGGATATCTTGAATGGATATGGGCGAAATTGAAAGGGGGAGGGGGGATATGGGGAAAAGGTGTAATGATAGGAGTAGGAGGAGGAGAAGGAGGAAAAAAAGATGTGGGAATATGTTGAAAAGCTAGCGGGGGGTGTATGTGTGTATGTATGGTGGATTGCGGCGGATTGTGGTGGATTGTGGTGGATTGGGGAAGTGAGGGGAAGATGGATTGGAGATGATGATAGTTTTGTGGTGTGTGATGGTTAGGGTTGGGTTGGGAGGGTAGAGGTGAATGCTGAAGGGGGGTAGGAGGTAGTGATAGGAGGTAGTGGAAGGAGATAGGGTAGGAGGTAGATGGTAGGAGGAATGGTTGAGAGGAGAAGGGAATGGGAATGGGAGGTATTGCAGAGCTTGGTAGCTTGGTAGCTTGATAGTCTATTAATTCAACAAAAGCAGATGGGGAGGCTAGCTAGTGGTGAGTTTGTTTTTGTCTTATGTAATGTGCAATTTACAATGTGTAGTATGTAGATATGCAATGTGTAGATTCCTCATACTAATAATTGTGAGTAAAGCGATGAAATCTTTTATAGGTGAGTTGTCTTTGAAATAAGGATCGAGAATTAGTAGTTGTTTGGGAATACTGTTTTCCGTCTGTATATCTGTATGTCTGTGGTATGTCGTGTGGTATATTGTGGAAACGGGCGGTGCTGAGGGGGGTGTTTGGCGTGGGGGAAGGAGGGGTATGTACGTATGTATGTATGTTTATTTATTTGTATAATATACTAATAAGTCCGTAGGTATATACACGTTCATATATTCACATACATGCATAAATATTCACACGGAGATGGAAATCTTGCAGTACAATGCAATGAGCAATGATCAGGCAAATAAGGGTGGGAAGAAGGAAAGTTTTGGACATATGTAGATGAAGATGAAGTTCATGTATGTGGGATTATCGGAGGTGGTGATGGGGGAGAGAAATCCCTGCTCTGTGTAGGTATATCTCGATGTCTAAAGATCTTGGATTTGCTTCTGGGTTCTGGGTTCTGGGTTCTGGTGTCTGGGGTGAGGATGTGAAGGAAATGGTGATGATTTGATGATTTGGTGTTATGCTATGGAGATGTATAATGTATATGTTATACGAATCCGGATCAAAGGTATGTGAAGATGTGTATGTCTGTATGTATGAATATGTATGCAGGGAGTATGAGAGGTGCATTTTGCGGCTGGCTGGAGATGGGACACCGATTAGCGAGGGTTGGGAAATGAAGGGTTGAGGTTATGGTTAGAAGAGTGTGTGTGTTTGTGTTTGTATGTGTTATCTTGTGAGTGGAGGATTGGAAGTTCTTATTGTGATTGTTTGGTTGATGGATTGATTGATTGGTATGTTGACTTGGGATATCTAGAATGGAGTAGATGGTGTTGGTAGACATGGTGTTAAAAAGTTGGTTCGGTTAGAATGGGCTTGAAACGATGAGCTTGATGAGGCTTGAGATCCTGGGATGAGAAGGGGTCAGGGACGATATGTGATGTAGTGTGATGATGTGCTGGTGTGAGAGGGTAGGATTGGATTCCTGGTAGAGAGATCGAGGGATTTGAGATGGATGACAAGTGTTGATGAGGGGAATTTGAGGAGAGAGCGGGAAGTGAGGGGGTTGGTTCACTCTGTTGAGGATCGATCTATTAGTAAGGTTTGAAGATGCAGGATTTGAACAGTACAGCAGAAAAACGAACGGCTGAACACCAAAATGAGGAAAGGTGGTGAATATTAAGATCTGACTCTGACTGCTTGTTGATCAACAGATATGTGTGTGAGATCAGCATCTGATTAACTCTATTCATAACATATAGGATATACATGAAGGTGTGTGAGATAGAGGGGTAAATCCAAATTTAGAAGTAGAGGAAACGAAATCCATACTTTTAGGTACTTTTTTCCGTTGCTTCTTACCATTCTTGCTACATGTGGAATATACTTAAACTCATCTGTATAAAATATGTGATACGGTACCGGTATGCATGGAAAGCAATCAATCTAGTACTCTGTAATCTAATCTCGATTTTCATCAGATTAAACATGCGGGAGATTCACCCATAGTAATGTTTGACTCAGTAGTATACATAATGATAACCTATCAGAAGCATCAGAGTTTAGAAAAGTGATAGACCAATAGTCCATGGGGTTTTCATGTAGTGTATTTTTTGGCATGAGGTAGGAACAATGTATTCATGTAGCATCGGGCCAACTCGGTTCTTTCTAGGTGTAAACTTGGCGGGGTAATGCCGGAGGGGTTCCTACCTACCGTTCCTCACATATTCATGGTGATGATTAGCTTGTGTGAGATGTGATAGATATCATATGGGTAGCATGGCACTTTGTGTCATGCATGATGATGATAGGTACTTTGACTCTTGGTACGGGTGTGAGGATGCGGGTAGGTCTTATTTTCCGGGATGTGTGCGATAGCATTTGAGATATGATAGATGTGTTGATGTAAGATGAATCAATTGATGAGAGGAGATCAACATTAATGGGAGAATCGGGCTGAGATAGGATGTGTAGCATGGGGTAGCGTGGGTTGCGAGGTTCCGTGGTTAGGTCTTGCATGTATTGGTATGTTGAAATCGGAATTGGTGTGATTATCGGTACTTGATGAAGGGGCATGTAAGATTTTAACTGTATTTTCAGAGATTAGCAATGATTTAGTACTTTTTGAGATGAATCTCACTTATTAATTCCGTCTTTTATCTTTCATGAAGATAATACGACTTGATAATTTGAATACCTAGGTACTCATGCTCAGGTACAGTAAACGAATACGTACATACGGAGTCCATACATACATACATCCGGCTAATCGTACGTATTGAAATGCAAGTCTAATAGATATTATTTATAAGTAAAGTTCGATTGGTGGATCTCGAAAAGAATCCCTACATCGCAGTAGACGATGAAAAAGTCTACTAACTCTTCATTCTGCAGTAGACCAAAGGTTATGCGTATAGAAAGAATAAGGTTACTAGGGGACACTCTGTAGCTTCCCCGAACCCATGATCCCAGCTCAATGTGCTAAATAGCTTTTCTCGTCTATCAATGTCACTATACTTTATTTATACTCCTGCTTTCTACTCTGACCCTACTCTTGGCAACCAACCATCAATATCAGTTGTTCCTTATCCTGGAAAAATTCTTCATGCCCTATCGTTTTGCTCGTCATCGCGAAATGCAATGTTCAATACTCATACATGATGTTTATGCATATAATCTATAACCCAGTCACGATACCGAACAAACAAACGGACAGGCGGAATGGTGCGCGATATTTCAATTTCAAGAAAGCATCGAATTGGTTGAGAGTCAATATAGAGAGTAATGGTAGAAGGCGACCTGCATGATAAGGGTATATATGCACGCAAGCAAGCCATGATAAACCTCGGGAAGTTGAGTTACCGTTAGGATCAAGATGATTGAGTAATGGTAAGTAGAGGGAGAAAAAAAACTTTTCGTCGCGGAATATCTTGTAGCGATTGTTCTGTGACAATGAAGCATGTGAGGGAGGGTAGACAAAGCCGAATGAATGGCTTCATTTTCACCCAATTGCAACGTCAATATATCTTCGGTGCAATATCCGGAGGTATGTATATGTACGTATTAATGGGCATTATTTCAATAGGTGAATAATGTACAATCGATGTCATGACATGAGGAACATGATCTCCCCCCCATGTCACTCATTGTACAGTACAGATGCGTAACAAGGGCGATGTTCTTTCCTACAGGCATGCCTTGTGGTTTTGAAACTATTGAGTACTTAATACAGAGGTACATGGGCATGAAATGGCATGGTACTGTCGGGGAATGAGAGAGGGTTCCGTTTCCTCGGGAAATTTTGGAAAAGACGAGACAAGAGATACGAGTAGACGAACAATACATCGTTACATGTGAGCGGCAGTACGGCCCGCATGGATGCAAACAATCAGTGCGTTCTCTTCACCCAATTTCACCCAAGCGCATCTTGGATAATTTCATATCGATATTTTGGTTGGGTTATCTCTAAGTTGCAAAGTTGAAACTCTAGAACCCTTAATTCAAATTTTTCGTATTCCCATGTTGGTGGTTATGTTTTGCCTAGCAATTTTTGGTTAATGTTTGTTGCTCGTGTTAGATGGTTGTTGGATGCGTCGTGCTCTGATAATTGTTGGTTTCCTTGCCACGCCTACTTACTTTAAACTGCCCCCGATGGAGTACGGAGATTTCTAAATGAAGAAACTTCATTGGTGAAATTGAAATGGTAGTAACTTTCCAAGACTGTCATGTTAAACATCTATCTTGTTATAACCATACATAAGGTCTCGATCCAGGCAACGAATGATCGAGAACTCTTCATTTATCTTCACACGGGTGTGATGTGATACCAAAGCCATCACTACATTCCCGTGTGTGAAACCTAGACTTTTCCCTCATTGTGGAGAGGGAGCGTAGCTACCCGTGTTTTCCTTTTCGACTTCCACGAGGAACTCCTTTTCTTGAAAAAATTCCCTGACCCTTCTCTCTTCTCCACATTTCCTTTACGGGATCCTTTATTCTCTCAATCCTCTTCCTTCTCCGTCGATTCTCCTTCCGTAAAGTTAAGTGAGATACGGTGGATGATTTTCGTAAGTCACCAACCAACAATTCCGATATCGAGATGCCAAGACGGAGAATAGCCAATTAAACAACCAATAACGGAGAAGGGGACCTCATGAGGTCGCATCAAGTGTCAGCAGGCAAGGGTATTATGATATATCGAACGCCATATAGCTAGATCCAGGTATGAAGGGTCCCATAATGGGGAATTAAACGCTATTAGCGCGCGGGAGGGTGAGTAGGTTAGAGACACAAAACTATGTCCATCGTGAGTGATTGATCGGTCGGTATGAAAGAAGTAAGAGGAAAGACGAAGATGGGTGTGATACATGAATATACCTCCGAACCAAGGAATTGAAATGAAACGGTAACAGGTGGAAGGTGGAGGGGGTGGCAATTCATGCAGCCTTCAGCTACAGATACATTGCATGAAAATCTTGATACGTTGGATGTCAAGCTTCATTGTAGAGGAGCAGTCTTCATGAATACATGATGTGAATGAAGTTCATGCAGCCGCGGGGAAAGTAGAACGTCTGCACAGGCGACCAGGTAATTTGAGACCTTAGATCACCCTTACTGGGTTTCCTATATCTGAAGCCATTGATACTGATGGCAAGGTCTCTCTTTACATAATGTGTATATTACATATTACATACAGAGATATTTCTTCAATGCCAGAGATTTGAGGAGCGTTTAGGAGTTGGGGAGTTTGGGGGTCTCCAAATGAAGCATGCACGCACACTAACAAACATGAAAATCATAGCATCGATAACAAAGATTCATCATAACATAACAGTATCCTGCAATTCGTAATTAGCAGCCGAGCATGTAAGAAATCTGCCCAGCTGCAGCTCCACGACCGACGGAAGAAGAAGAATTCATCGGGCATTTGCAGAAGAAAAGGTGGGGCAATTAGCATCCGTTACATACAGTACAGTACAGTACGATATCAAATCTAACACTGCCATACAATATCATACATAGCCATACATACATCAGGCTACATCGACGAGATCAAGCCCAAAGTCTAGCTCAATACTGATGACACCTCATGGACACGACGCTTTCTACCAGGCAAAATTGAGAAATAGAAACCACGGAAGAATCAACTGCTCATTCAATTACCCATCTCCGTAATATCATCTTCTCGTGTATATGTTGTTTGGTCTGGAAGTATCTTTCTAGTCCACCTGCACTCCTTAGATTTTTGGCTGAATCTAAAAACGACTTGACGATAGAACAAAGCTACATATTACCCTACATACCGATTGCATATTTTGATTGCTACATCTCATGATTCGTCGAGGGATCTAACACCAAGACCAACGGGGAACCGACAGGATACGAAAGGTAAAGGTCGAATGAACGAAAATAAAGAATAAAGACGATACATACAATAGATATGGAATCAATAGATAGTCCAAATCTATAAGCAATGTTAATCCACTTTTCACTTGGCCGGATCATCTCATCACTCTTTGATTCGACTACTATTTACTTAGTTGTCTACTACCCTCGCTATATAATACATACATACATATCACGTACTCCAATACCCCCTTTCCGTATCCATTCTCGTTATCTCAAGGGCCAGGACGTCGGCCAATCTAGACCTTTACTACAATACCCCGTCTCCATCTTTCTCTCCATCCATAATTTATCCCGTACTCCGTCCATTGACATTATCACCCATTCTCTCTCCCTCCTCCCCTGGTTACTTCTTGGTACTCATTACATATATTTTGTACCCCTACATTTACCATTATATCTCCATTTACTCTGTGTGTGTGTATGTGCGTGTACTTACTTTAACCCGTTCGAGTACTTTCTTCATCTCTCGCTCGGTCTTTCAGGTCCTCTACCGCACCATCACCTTTTTTATATGCTCATGGTGTGTCGCACCAAATCAAACCACATAAAGTACCAAATTCCCAGGCGACTCCAGTAAAGTTTCATCCACCACGCCGCAAAAGCCACTTTTCAAGCATCCAAGACATTTCGATATCGATACACCAAGACGAAGTAAAGCAACGGAGAGGAGAGAGAGGAAAGGAAAGGAAGTGAAGGCAAAGAATATCTTCATTCATCGTCAGCAAGACGCAATTCACACCATATCACATTACAGCAACTGGATAGTGTGAACATTGATCAATCGATCAATCAATCAATCAATCATTCAATCATTCATTCAATCGACCGACCAACCTTACCTAACTTAACCCCCTACCCCCAAGAAGGATCATCAATCTTTATACCATTTCCATTATTATTCCGATATCGACTTCCTCCCAGATTCCCTCACTCTTTTGAGGTTCTCTTGCGTGCATACGGGACTATTACTATTCAAGGCTTGGTTGCTGTTGCATTCCGCTTCTTGATCTTAATTGTCGATCATTAATTATTATATTACTCTTACTATCATTATCATTACTACTATCACTAACTACCATATATACATACATATCTATCTACTACGACCGATATCACACCGGACTTTGATCAATTGATGATCTGATTTATCTTAAGGCTTAAACCACTTTTAAGCTTTGCTTAAGCTTCTAGGTATTGCACATCCATTAATTAATCAATTCATCAATCAAATCAAATCAAATCAAATCAACTCAAATCAAATCATTTGTTCTCTTTACTTATTATCCTTATTATCCTCCGTCCCTACTTGTCACTTGGTCTTTGTATGGGAGTTGTATATCTGATTCGTTAAAAGGCCCCTCAACTCAACTCACTCACCACCTCTTCTTGGCCATACATATATTAATTGATTCTAATAACAAAGGAAAGAAGGGAACATTAAAAACGACAACGAAGTGGAAAGAAAAGAATAATTTGGTTCATTTTTGAGAATTTATTTGTCTTTGGTTTTTTGAGAAAGGGAAGAGAAGAAAGAGAGAGAGAGAGAGAGAGAGAGAAAGAGCGCGAGAGAAGAAGAGACAAGAGGAGAGTGAGTAGGTGAGAAGTGAAGAGAGAATTGAGAAGTAGAAGAAGTAGGAAAAGAGGGAGAGAGTGAAGTGAAGTGATTATCATGTTCCAACCACAACCCACACCATTTTCACCCTTCTCTACATGTGGATTAAATATATCTCCACAACCGCAACCTCCTCCACCACTTCTGGATTTCAACAATTTCCACCACAATCACAATCAAAATCAAAACCTCAACAACCACAATCACAATCACAATCACAATTCAATTTCAAACACACAATCACTTCATCAACACCAACACCAACACCAACACCAACACCAACACCAACACCAACACCAACATCAACATCATCAATCCCACTCTCAATCTCAATCTCACCCTCATCCTCATCCTCATCCTCATCCTCACTCCAATTCTCATCCTCACCCTCATCCTCACAACCATACACATCCACATACACTCTCACATTCGCAAACTCACGCGCAGCAACAACAACGCTCGAATTCTTTATCTCACTCCTCTCCGTCGGCATGTACACCACCAACAACTACAGCTTTCGTGGATAATCTAAACTCAATTGTTGTTACAACTCAACCAGGACAAGGTACGACGGCGGGACGCGGACTAGGAAATACCCTGCAACAATTTCAACATCGACATCCACAACAACCAATTTTTAATCCCATCAATAGTAGCTCTGCGAATTCGAACCCGAATCTCACGGGCACTATCAATCTACCCCACAACACCAATACCAATTCTTCTTTACCACCATTGTTCGCACAGCACAGTCAGCAACAATACAAAATGGAGGATAATGGTGTCACTGGAGTGAATGATATGGAAGCACAGGAAGCTTTAGCTAGGGAATTTCAACCAGCGTTGGAGGTACGGATTATTTTTTGGCTATCATCACAGAACCTTCAAAATAGTTATGAATGGGTGAGATTTTTTGAGTACAGAGCTTGAACTGACAGTACAGTAGGGACCATTAGTGGGGGAAAAGAAGAGCAGTCTGGCGATAGCTGAAGAATATGCAAAAGCTGACCCCATTTATGTTTCGAAAACTTCTGTAAGTGATCTATACCACATTGTATCCTCAGCGCTACTCATAATTAACAATGGGTAATAGGCATTACCTCAGAAGTATTCTCATTATCGACCGATTCTTGGCGATGGAAATTGTGGATGGCGGGGTAAGTCTTCTGAGCTTGGTGCTTTGATGATACCCGTGCACAAACAACATGATATTCGCCGTCAATAGACATTGCTATGGGTAGAGCTGATTTCTTTGGTGTTTAGCGGCGGGATTCTCCTACTTTGAGACTTTACTGAGGCTGGGAAATAGAGGTCAGGTAGAGGAAGAACTAGCAAGGATATTATCGCTGAACAGTCTACTCACAACGGCTGGAGGATTCGATGCGTGGATCTTTGAGGATATGGTGGAAGAAACTACCACGTTGTTGAGAGACATGGCAGAGTTAATGGATACTTCTATTCAAGCTGCTGAATCCTCGATCTTGGATCGATTCAACAACTCGGAAATCTCGAACGCTATCGTATACCATTTCCGATTGTTGGCTAGTTCATGGCTCAAAGCTAACCCTCAAAATTACCAAGGATTTATACCAGACGGCGGTGGTGTCGATCAATATAGAAAAGAATGGTTGGAGCCACCTAATCAAGAGATAGATCATCTTGGTATGACTTTACTCATTGATGTGTTACTAAAACCTACCCGATTCTCCGTTGAGATTGTCTATCTCGACCGCAGTGAAGGAACACAAGTCAACAGTCACATGTTCCAGGCTGAGGATTCAAATGGTCAGCCCACCCACCCAGAAGGTCCAATCATATACCTTCTCTATCGACCTGGTCATTACGATATCTTGTATAAGGATCTTGTACGGCAAAGTATTGATATGAGCTCAAATATTCAAGTCAATCGAGCCACGAATTTTACTCATCAGCACTCGACTGAAGCACATCCTCCTATGAATCCATATCAAACCATGGATCTCCTCCTCAGTATTCCGGGTGTCAGTTTCGCATCACCATATTCGAACTTTGGCATGCAATATCAATCACCGATGTCGCAAGCATTTGCACCTGCACCATCTACCGCCTTATCACCTATGTCACCTACAGGAAATTCTGTCTCGACACCACAATCCGCAACCTCAGTCACAAGTCTTCCTAATCGTTCAACATTTACTTCAATCAATACTCCTACCCCAATTATCACCTCTCCACATCCATTCAAAAATACTCCAATCTCCCTTCCTATTCATACCATACCTCCACCTACTCCTCATACTATTCCATCCCCTATTTCATTAGGAATACCAGCGGCAAGTTTTCGCCCAAGCAAGTACGAATGGGCGATATCAGCCGATTTACAAGAAGGACCTGTGCCCAGTTTTCAAACTAGCACGTTTAAAAATAGTCATTATAATACAGCGCATTACAATAATCCCAATTTCCAACCAGAAGAATGGACGCCAGAAGAAGACGGCTTAGGTGTGGGTAGTAAAGGAGGAGGTGGAGGAGGCTATGGTGGATGGGCAAGAAAGAGAAGTAGTTGATGAGTGAGAAATTAGGCATGGGACATGAAATGGGGTTTTGGGGGAGGGGAAAAAAATTATGATATTAATGATGCAGGTATTGGGGGTAATTTTTTGTGTTCATATGTTTCAAGGGGGTTTAAGGAACTTGATTTTGGGGATTTTGCGAAAACATGCAAATTTATATCATATCATAAGATGATTATTTTGTTGATTTGAGAATCAAATGAAATGAAGTTTGTTTGAGTATTGTTTAAGTGTGTTTTACTGAAAGGATTGTGGTATGTGGTTTGATATATGCTAAAGATGTTATATATATTGAGATATTATGTGAAGGTGAGATGAGACCAGATGAGATGGAATGAGATGGAATGAAATGGAATGAAATGAAAAGTGTTAAAGCAATGGATAGGTATGAATATCTAAATGGGATAATCGGTGAAGGAAGACTTTTATCTGTTGGTAGGTGAATAGGTGCATAGATGGTTGGTGTGGGTTGGATGGGGAATCATCGGGGATATATGCTAAGGTAGTGGGAAGATGGGATGGGATGGGGTGGGGAGCGAAAAGGAAAGGAAGGGAAGGGAAGGGAAGGGAAGGGAAGGGATGAAGTGAGCTGAGGTGAGTTTGATGAGTGTATGAGTGGATAAATGGGTGGATAGATGGGTGGATATATGAGTGGATAGATGGATGGGAGATAATCGGGTTTAACTGGGTAGTAGTATGCTATTTTGTGATTTTGTTTTGTGTCGATGATGATATGATATGATATGATATGATATGATGAATAGATTGGGTAGGTATGTATGAGTAGGGTTTTATTAATTATTGGGATGGAGATGGAGATGTATTAGGTATTAGGTATTAGGTATTAGGTATTAGGTATTAGGTATTAGGCGTGTAATTTGGGAATGGGGGTTGGGTTGGATTGGGATTGGGATTGGTATGGGAGGTTTGGGAAGATTCTGGGCGGGGGGGTGAAGGGAAGGACGGATGGGCTTGTGATTGTCTAATTCTGAGAATATGAAAATGTGAAAATGTGAAATGATGGGATTGAGGTGATGGGATTGGTCGGGTCGTATATTGATTTAGGGAGGGGGGGAGGAGAAGGGAGAGGGAAGAGGGAAGAGGGGAGAGGGGGGCAGATGAGATATGATAAGGTAAGGTAAGGGATTGTATAGGGTAGAATAGAATGTATATATGTATGTATGGAGTAGGGTAGGCTTTAGATTTGCAGGACATTTGATTGAATATTGTGGAATTGGATTTGGAGTTGGATTTATTGGGGGAATCTCGGGGGGGGAGGGGAGGGGAGGGTAGGGTAGGAGAGTGGATAGGTAGGGTTGGTAAGGTAGAGTAGGGGAGTGGATGGTTTTGATGGATTTGATGGATGTAGAATGGATATGGAATAAATGGATTAAGTTAATAAGTGTATGGACGAGTAATGAATCATGAACCATGAGTAGACTGAAAAGATAGAAAGATGGAAGAGGAAA